CCTTGTACCTTTTCCATATTGTCTGCAACTAAAATCATCTATTTGTGTCCTATTTTGTGCAGCTAAACATGCTGCTTTCGGACGTCCTACCAAAAACCATGGACTGCTGTTTCGTGCTTTTTTGGTACTTGTCAGGTTGCATGGTCAAGGATTTATCTGTTGAATAATGACTGAAATCATAACAACTTGCTCTATCCAAGGTATCTAGATATAAATAAGTCAGTGCAAAACACCATCTATTACCAGAATCGACCCCTGCGAGAGTGTATAGCAGCTATCGGTTGGAACTGTAAAGATCAGTTCACAAAATATACGAAACAGCTGTCCATGGTTGGCTGTCAGTGGTCAGATGGACGAAAGCAGCATGTTTTGTTGCTCAATCGCCAGTAGCCCACATCTACTATATTGCCAAAATCGTCTGCCTCTAGCAGTCACAAACCCGAACTGATATTTTTACAGTTCTAACTTAAAGCTGGTGCTTTGCGCTGTCTTATTAGTGATATTTTGTGCAGGTTATGTGAGTATACGGAGTTGATCCCTAGATTTTTTCGCTCTCGCATTCAAAATTGTATCTTGACCCTCGTAACAGAAATTTTTCCATTGATCGAAAGTATTTTATAGAAAAATGAGTTAAACCAGAAATATGCAAAAAACGCTCTCGCTGGCCTGAAAGGAACCGATCATGATTTTTCTCGGTTAGTTACCATGCTGAGTCATCTTTGTTGATTGCATGTAAAAAGCCATCTGCTTTTTCTAATTCCTAGGAATCATGAGCGTCCATTCAGGGAGCGTTCCTTGAGCCATCCGTTCGATAAACTGATAAAATTTGCTCAAACGGAACGTTGCCCCCTAACTTGGACGTTTTATAATAATAATAATAATAATAAACGTCTTTATTTCCAAATGGACTGATTATATAAAAAAATAGCCAAATACGGGCGAAGTTCAGCTATAGCTGCTCTTCCACTTAACTATATTCGCATGTATTATCTAGAGATACGAGAACTGAAGGGCTTATAGCAATAAGGTACCTAAGCTATATTGTTTCTATTTCGAGAAATCTAAATTTATGTAAATCCTGAAATAATGATTTTTGCTCAATTTCCATTCAAATGCTACAACACGTATTCATTTTGAGAAACAGATTTGAAAAATATATATTTTTGTAAAATAGCCTCATCTTTGAAAATAATGTGGCTTGGTGCCTTATTGAAAGAAAAGTTGTATTCCAAAGGTAATTTAAAAACTGTTTGCTTTATATAACATATAATTTGAGTGTATTCGCTCTTAGACTTCATTAAACTTGACCGTACTCCTTAGCTACGTTAAAGTGCCTCTTCGTGACAGACAAATGCGTAAAAGTTCTTTCATTAGGACTGTGTCAGAATTGTTGTCTATGTCGAAAAAAATATTATTGTTCCTGAAGACTGAAGAAGATCACATACCACACAGATCCATTTATTTGGTCAAGACGGACATCTCAAAATTACATATTATTGATACGCATTAAAGTTATTTGTGGTCTACGTTAGTTGTTCTCAACCTATGTAGGGTTATTAAAGCTGCTACACACAGTGCCGGCGGCAATGCCGCCGGGTTTATGCCGAGCGGCTATGCCGCCGGTATAAGCCGCGCAGAGCCGTCAAGCATCATTCCGGTTGCGAAAGCTACTACACACAAGCCGGCGGCAATGCCGCCGGGTTTATGCCGAGCGGCTATGCCGTCGGCAATACAAGCCGCCGGCACAAGCCGCGCAAAGCCGCCAAGCATCATTCCGTTTGTGACAGTCACATAGAACGCTAGTGAAGTGCATATTTTATGGTTGATTGGTTAAAATGAAAGAAAAAAATACAAAAGGACGAGAAGGTTTTGGTTGCACCCAAGTTTACAAAATAGAAAATGGCGGAACGGTACTGTAATGATAGAAGAGTATAAAAAAGATGATGTGGGGTGTCCGCGTTTGCGCAATAGCATGTTTTTTGGGTTTCTGTACATCGTCTATGCCTGCACCAGATTTGTGCAACTGTTCGAACTTCTTTTTTTCCCGAAAATAACACGAGGTTACATTTTTTAACTTTTTAACGACGGCTCCTTTGCGCGGCAAGGCCGGCGGCATTGTATGCCGCCGGGTGAACGGAGGCTTAGCCGACGGCTTGCCCGGCGGCCCTGCCACCGGCACTGTGTGCAGCAGCCTTGACAGTCACATAGAAAGCTAGTGAAGTGCTGCATTTCTGGGATTCCATAATATATCATTTTCATGAAATTTTTCAATTAAGAGCAGCACAGCTTCGTCGTCCCAATTAAACGACATTTTAATTTGTTTAAACACACAAACCGCACAACACTACCGCTCGAATGCCAGGAACGAAGTGACGCCAGCAAGCCGCGTAACCCGCCGGCACACCACGGCGGCTCCTTTGCGCGGCAAGGCCGGCGGCTTTGTATGCCGCCGGGTGAACGGAGGCTTAGCCGGCGGCCCTGCCGCCGGCACTGTGTGTAGCAGCCTTTAGAATTCAAGAATTTTTTACATATAGATTTATGTTGCCATGAACAACAAGTGATAAAAATCAGGTTTTTTTGTCAAGTTTTTGTGGTGGTTGCGTATATTGTTTGGTGATAAAGAAGCATTCAGTTTTTGTACATTTACGGTATCAGTTAAATGTTAAATTTCTTGCAGCTTATCGCTAATAAGTGGTTTGAAGAGCATGAAAGGATGGTTGGTATGCTTACGGTATATTGCCGAACACGACAGTTTGTCTTTTTTCTTATTGCCCACATTGGGCGCTACCTCTCACAGCTGAATATCGGAGTAATCGTCTGCTGTGGTATACAGAAAGAATTCTATGAGCCCGGGCATGGAATCAGGTGGTCTTTAGTGACGAACCCCGCTTCTGTCTTGGGATGCACGATGGTCGGGCAAGAGTGAAAAGGCGACGTGGTGAAAGTCGTGACCCACAATTTGACAGAGACACACACATTATTGAACCAGCTTCTGCAGTCAGCTGACGAATCAAGCTGAAAATTTGATCATTTTACTAGTAAGGGACACTGAACAGATATGCCAAAAATTATTAAAATCGGATAAACATACGTAGGTGTTTACCTTTTTTGCAGTATATATTCTGATGGTTTAAAATAATTATCTAGTGTTATTGTGAAACTAAAACAAAAAATAGTTTGCCTGTTTAACAAAAGCATAAAGAAATAAATATATAAGCCACAAATTCATTTACTCGCCTGAATTACTCGCCGCGAGTCACTATAAGAACTGCTGTCAGTCAGAGGACTGTGTCTGTGCTTCACCCTGTCATTTGAAATAAGTCCGGCACCATATTTGTTCTGTGTATCAGTAAAACATCCCCCACCATAGACTCATTTCTCTATGGCATAAATCTTGGGCTTTCTTGGCTTAAAATGTGTGGGATATCGTGGTTCATCAAAAACACCATTTAGAACTTATAGCGACATCTATCAGAGAATTGTCAAAAAAATCAACTCCCGACATAGACACTTACGCCACGAGTGTGTAGAAATATAGTTTTTTATTCGTAGTAGCTATTACCGGGATTACCGTTTTCAAAAGAACCAACTATTTTTGTCGTTAGCGAAATCTCCAACTCGTGTTCAATATCACAAACGAGTGCAAAGAAATGTCACATTCTATGTAAATTTAACACTTCAGTACGTATACAGTTACAGCTTTCTAACCAGATACGTTCTTTTTTCCTGTGTAATAAGGCCCAATCGGGCGCAAAGTATCTGATTTTTCACTCGACAGCACGTTCCGTTCGAAAATTTATACCACGTCGCAGCAGATGGTAAACGCTGACAGAAAGATGTGCCTTTTTAGACATAAAAACAAACTAAAGAAAGACAAGAAAGAGAACAGAGACTCGCCTGGATTTATACAGAAAACGACGTTGTCGAAGTCATTCAGTTACTTTTTTATTATCTGTGGTGAAACAAGAATGTCGAAGCATGTGGTGGGTGGCAGCTTCAGGAAAGCTTATAGTGTCCGGCCCAGGTATTACGTATCTTCAAAAGTGACGATATATCGGTTTTTTGTGACATTATCTAGGTTTTTCTACGATGTTAACTTAGCACTAGCTAATGGACACGTTGTGAACTCGTTTTGTAGTTTTACGTGTTGCCTAAACGTCATGAGGCTTCAGTTATCAATGTTTGATTGTGATGTAAAATCTGCTTCAGAGATGGTATTACTGGAGGTATAGGCAATTCCTATGCAGAGTGAGGATTTGTGTGCTAATAATATGTGTTGATGATGACTCCATTGGATTCTTGTCTCAAATACAATTTCATGAGATTCAAAGCTAGAAATTAGTTGCGCATCCACTTTTTCTTATCCATTCTGGAAACTACATATGCAAATTTGCTGAATTTTAAAAATGAGGGAGGCAAGAAATAATTATGTCCCACTGTACACTGGCGAATTACAACTCATACACATGACAACAGTAATTACACATAACGCGGGCACGGTGATTTCTCGTAATTCTCCTCTAATTTTTTGAAAACACAAAAAATTGTATTTTATAACTTTGAACATAACCTGTCTTCAGAAAAGGCAACATATAAATAACCCGTCGGGCTCATCTAATAGATATTCTTGCTATTCAACCAAGTTTCTTCTCAGAGGTGAAAACCCTTGTGAGCAAACGTGGAATGACTTTGCACCCTAAAAACTACCTAGTTTGCAAGATGACATATTATAGTTTTTTTGACGTTTTATAGGTTTTTTTACATAATACCCGTGCAGTTAGTTTGGAATTACATTTTCTATAAATTTCGTAAACTAAGCGGGCGTGTGGTCTATAGCAGGTTAATTAACACTTTAACTACTATGTGTACAAAAAATGATACACATCTAACTTTTATGGATAAACTATGTGCCCATATGTGGTCACAGGCATGGGCTAGGTTTGATCCGTTATGTACGTTATGTGGTCACGCTTATCATTGAAATGAATGCATGTTCTATATAGTATAGTTTATGACGAAAGATTGGCCAAATAGTTTTACCCTTAATTCATAGATGGAAGCACCAAGCTGTATAGTAATTTAGTCGTAACGTGTACGTATTGTTTACACGTTTTGGTCGTATGTCGTAGTTGTTTCTTCTGCTCATCGTGCTCGGTTGCGTTCTTGAATGCAAAATGGGTGATAGGGCTTTAACCGATAAGGAGTTGGAGGGAATAATTAATAATATGAGCGATTGTGAATACGAATCGGACGTCGATGACTCAGTGGGTGATCCAGACTTCGAGAATTTCAGTTCATAGTGATAGTGAATTCGATGCTAGCACTGCAAGAAAAAGAAAGAAGCTAGAAATTTGTGTGGAAGCAAATGCAAATGTCGGGGCTATAGACACTCCTGTTGACAGTGAAGTGAATTTGTCTGAAAGCAGCGAGAGTAGCTCAGATGAGTGCAGCCCCAACAGAGATGTAAGTGGATCACATGAAGTTCGAGTTATCTGGAATGATTGTTCAGGTAAAATAAAGTAAATTAGGATTTATTGCGACGCTACAAAGTATTTTTCTCTTCAGGAAATTTGAAGGATCATCCGTTCAATGCCAACCCAGGATTCTCTGCAGAGTTTCTTGCGAAAAGAAGCGGAGATGAGCCTTTAGACTTTTATAAGCTTTTCTTGGCCGATATCATACCTATGATAGTTCAAGAAACAAACCGCTATGCGACGCAAAAAATTATATCATGCATAGCAAATGAAACTAAAAAAAATTCACTATTAACTCACTGGAAAGATACTAACGAGTCTGAAATAGTAGCATTCATAGGAATGCTAATTTGGATGGGACTAGACAAAAAGCCGACACTGAAATATTACTTTTCGCGCAATATACTATACAAAAATGATTTGGGAAAATACATTGGAATGTCAAGAATGCGGTTTGAATTGCTTCTATCAAATTTGCATTTTTCAGATAATGAGACAACAGATCGTACGAATCGCATATAAAAATTCAACCATTAGCAGACGGTCTCATTACTAATTTTCAAGCTGCATGTATTCCCAAAAAAGACGTATGTATTGACGAAACAATGATTCCATTCAGAGGCCGGCTTAGCTTTCGTCAATACATACCGGGTAAACGACATAAATACGGAGTAAAAATTTTCAAACTGTGTGCGGAGAAAGGTTATACATACAACTTAAAAGTATATTCAGGCAAGGAGGACAACCCGACTTCACAGTCAGTTGCTAGTCGCGAGTTCTCGAACTTATCGAGCCTCTCTTAGATTGCGGACGTCTACTATGCACAGACAACTTTTATACTAGCGTTAGCCTCGCACACGAACTTTTGGATAGAAAGACACACCTTATTGGGACTCTGAGAAAAAATAGGAAATTTAATCCAAAGCCAATTACAGATGCAAAACTGGAAAAAGGGGACTTGATTGTACGTGAGAGTAATACCCATGTGATAGTGGGAAAATGGAGAGACAAAAGAGAGGTCTTATTTTTGACGACCGAAGCAGTGCCTGAAATGACTGACGTACAAACAAAACGAGGTGTTGTAAAAAAACCATCTACTATTGCAAAGTATAATAGTATCAAGTCTTTTATAGATGTGTCTGACCAAAAGGCTTCCTACTCGACTACTGTTCGACGCGGAATAAAATGGTATAGAAAGGTGGCCATAGAAATACTCACAAATACTGCAGTTGTGAATGCTCACATAGCATATCAATTTTTTACTAAAAAAACTATAAATATAACCAAGTTCAGGGAGGAGCTTGTAAACAAACTTTTCAATGAGAGGCATAATATTATAGATATTCCATCTGAAGGGATCTCTAGGAATCACAAAATCATCGAGATAACATCAAGGGGTAGATGTACCAGATGCTACAAAGCTAATAGTGAAAGAAATGGTCGAGCCTATGCAATGGCAAACACTCCTAGGATTAAAATGCATTGTCAGGGGTGTGATCACAAATTTTTATGTATGAAGTGCTTTTTCGACACTCACAACTGCAGTTTACGTAAATGAGAAATGTGGCCATGCATGATATACATACTTTAAGGTGATCAAGCTGTATTTTTTTTATATAGACTGTGTGTACTGTACCTGGACACAGTCAAAAAAATATTTTTTTGTGGAAAAACTTGTTGTTTTCATTCTGTTTGTATACTTAAATATATCAAAATATATTTTTTTGAGAAAAAAGTGTACCAGTTTCTGTTGAGTCATGTATCACCATCATGCGTAGTAGTCAAAGTGTTAAGGCTCCCCAGCAAGGAAAGGATCATTTACATCCTTTACAGGTCCAGAACCTGCCTTGGAGGTGCCCAAAAGCACAATAAAGAAGCAAGTCAAAGAATGGGTAAGAAAACATCACGAGGAATATCACTTAGTGACGAAATGCAGGCATGGGAAACAATTATTTATCTTACGACCATGACCAAATACGACTGCGGAACTGCTCTCGATGAGTAGAAACCAACTCGGTGTAGTTAGAGGACTTTTAACTTAACTCTTCAGGAAACCAAAACTAGAACCAGGGGAGTTTGGAACAGTACTGACAGGAAAACTGTACCAACTGGTTCAGTACACTAGACTGCTGGATAGGGTACTGTAAACTTGAGGAGCAAGGCACAATAAGCCCAAGAGGCTGCAGCTCCCCGGGAAGTGGGAAAAAGGCACTCCAGCGCCAAGAACGATCCGTGAGTCTTGTAGCAAGATGTGTATTTCAGAGTCGGTTAGGGGGCGTATCTGCAGTGCCTTTTGCTCCGTTCCTTCAGCAAGTAAAAGAGGAGAATCATGAAGGTTCAAACATCGGTGCTGGCGATACGGCGACGGTGTTGTCGCTCTCGCTTCGGCTGAATTGTTTTCAAACATGACATCAACCTTTGGAGTAAAGATCATGCATCAAACCTGACTCATGATTATTCTTAAGATTTCTCGTTCTCAGAATTTTTCATCGCCGGAAAAGGTAATCCCAAAAGCTTAGGCAAGGTAGCGATGGTCTCTGTTCGATATCCAAGCGTACGAGAGACAGAGAGAGAGAGAGGGAGAGAGATAGAGAAGCGAGTTAGAAAGAGTGCGCTCTATAAGCGTGGTTATCTGGCAACAACAGTGTGGAGCAGTTACATCCGTGCACCAACCTGGTGACGAGGCTTATGTTGCGCACTTATAGCGCGCTTTTCTTTTTTCCCTTTTTCTCTCGCTTGCACAGATGAAAATTTAAAAGGCTACTCTGACCAGCACTGTAGATGAACGTATGCTTATTTTCGCGCAAGCACGGCTTTCATTTGGATTAGCTATTTTCTGATGGAATATGTTAATTGTATATTCCGGATTGGCGTTAAAACAGATTTAATCTAAGATTTTCACAAAACGTATAAGGTATCACCAATAGCTCAGAAACAAATAGAAATAATGTACTCATTTAATAAATTGAATTGTAGTTACATCCCTAGGCAAAATCATTGACGCCAATTGTCCACAACATTGGGGACATCTCCCTAGATCTGAGATCACTGGTGACAGATGCGAGCGGAATCAACTTCGCTTCCTTAGAGGAGGACATAAAATGCTTTTTGCTTTTACAAGACTTAAAGTTCTCTTTTAATATACATCAACGAGATATAATCCAGAACCTAGAGAAGTGGATGCACTAGAGCATTATGTTCGCAAAATTATTTTGTATACTGCTCGCTTTGACAATCATTTAAATTCTAACGCCCCCCGAAATTGATCAAGATATCTGGAGGGTATCTGCGATAGAAAACTAAAGAGTGGGGGAGGGGTGGAGGCGTCGTTTATTGCATCAGTGCTTCTGAGAACGAAAGCCTTTGGTCGAAGAGCGGGGGGTGGTAGTGACAGTTGAAAATTGAAGAGCGCGTCTGCATCAGCGTTTTTGTGACAATTGAAAAACCACCAGGCTCCCAGCGTTCACAAGGGGGCGATATCGCCCACAGGAGTTAGAAGAAAATACAATTTTGAATTCAACATTTTTATCACAGAAACTTCATTTGCAAAAATCGAAAAGCGTTTCTCTTTATTAAGCGCTTTTATATGCCCAGATTTCTTATTTGTACCTCGAAAAACAAATGAGTCATGCAAGAACAAAAGATGCACGTTTTTCATTGCAAATACGGAATTTTCTGACTCTGAATCGGGCACGGACAGTTCGACGCTGATTGAGAGTGAATGGGCATACAGATCCCAGTTTTCTGTGTACTCTCACGACCTATGCACAACTGCTCAGCCTGGATCTTCTAGGCTAGGCCAACACAAAACCGGGTGCCAAACGAGGTAATTATTTATATTTGCTCTAGGATCTAGTTTTTCAGCCAAGAGGCTACGTATTGAGAAACCTTATTTGAGGTCGGGAAGGCAGTACGGGGTAGCAGCTAGGGCCTCTAGCAGATTTTAATTCTCCGGGGGTTGCACAACGTGCTTTAGTTGCAGAAGGGCAGGAACACCATCAAATACATCCCAGGCTTTCCAGAACAAACTCTCAAGTTAAGTTTCCGAAATCATTATGAATAACTGGTACAGTGGTTTGTACGAGTACTTTTGCGCTTTAACGTTTATATTGTACAATTAAATATATCATAATTGTCCATGTTGTGACTGGATAAGGAACTTGTTATTGAAAAGGTGAAAATATGTTAAATCTGCATTTCAGTTACTTACTAACCCGTAGATAAACAAGTCGAGGTTACCTTCAGGTGTTCTCTGCAGATTACAACATAGGAATACAGCGGATATCGGCATCCCTAACTTGACTAAGCCTCTTTAGGGTCTTATACGGAAATATATTAACTTTAATTTAGACACTTGGAACTACAAAAATGATGCTGATCCCATTTCATTTTTTGAGTCCCGCCTCGCAAAAACCTTAGATCCAATTAATCCTGTAACTAAATAGCTTCTAAGTTCAGTCCACGGCCTAGCAAAATGCAGGAAATAATATCTTTAAAAGCATGAAATTGATGAAGTTTCTCATTAAAAAGCTCTTTCAGTAACGAAAAGCAACCCATAATACCCCAGACGCGATTAAATTACTGCAGTATGAGGATCAGACTTTATTAGTTGTGGGCTAGGCTCGTTCCTGGCTTTCGAAATTGCGCTTGGAAATCGAATCAACGATTTTATAGCTCAGTAAATTCAATCTAGCCATGTGAAAAATTCAAAGCAGCAGAACGCGTTCGAAAAATATAAGGCAGAGGTGAATTTCTTCAACTACGATTGCATTGTGCAACAAAAAGTTGCCTTTGGGATTTCGTGCAGAACTTTGAGGTGTCTTCTGTTCCTGTAGTATGTTTTTTTATACTAAAGCAGCTGCGAAGGCAGATCCTAAATACCAAGGTACCGCTACTACTTGTTGATTTTTGAACTGCTAGAAATTAGTGAAGCTGAGAATTTCTTCATGCAGATTATTTTACTTCCTACGCCACCGGCGAGGTAATATTGCAATCGCCAAAAAAAATCGAAAATGAGACATTATGTTTTGATCATGCAAGACCATCTTGACAAAGCCTTGGTCTTGGTCTTGCGAAGCCCCATTGCATAGATGCCGATTGCATATGCATGTGTGGGAATTATGGATATTTGAAATTAATTTCTGTGAATCTATTGTGACCCGCCAAAAACCATGAAAAGACCTATAGTTTCTGCCTTCAATAAATAGTATTCATCAGCTACAGTTATTGAAATATGCAATTCCAATTATTATTATTCAGTTGTACAATGTTAAAATATTATTACCACCTTACTAATTAGTTTCACTGATTTTATTGGAACCTAAAATTTGAAATCTATACACAACATTTATTACCGTCATTACTACTGTTGATTTATTATCTATTATAATTATAATTTAGTAAAAATACTCGGTAGCAGACAATAGTAAGTCAAGGATTGTGAGTCACATGCAGTCTGAGAGAAAGGTGGTAATTATTAATTTACTGACACGTAATGTGACAGGAATTCAGGATTTGAATCAGATGTTTTATGATATACAGGGTGTCCTGAAAGCTAGGTTTGAAATAACAAAGACGTAAAAAGGAAATTGACAAACGTAATCATTATTCATTTGATCAGGAATTTCAAGTACTGCCCTGTCACCTGTTTGGCTCATAAATACTTTAATAATAATTTGACTGCACGATGTAAACAAACCTACCAAGCTCAGGCCGCAAACATCAGAACGAATTATCAGTAGAATTTTGAAGACACTCCTCGTAAACTAACATCTAATCCTAATCGATAACTTCGTTATTGCTATAGGAAGGTGCCAATGTGAGTTTTATAAATCCGATTGTAAATAAGCTAGGTTTACCTACACACCATGCGGCGTCTGATTTTGAATACTGACGCAATCGTATCACAAAACACCCTAGGATGCAGGGTCGTTCTTGGTCTACTCCGAGTTTATCGTAACGTAATATCTGTGTTATTTTAAGGGTTTGGTGTATCTGTTACTAGGAAAACTAGCTTATCATACGCTCTGTAAAAGAAAGACCCAACTTTAAGGACACTGTGCATTTTTAGCCTTTCTAGTAATCTAACATACTAATGTGTTGAGGCACCCCAGTACTGTACACATCGGCATGAGAATCTCACGAGCTGTCGTATGATTTTTTGTACGGCTCATTTTATACCGAGTATTCCCTTTTCACAACACTATATATTTCTCTCTCTTTATATAATGTCCAGTATTTTTGAGGTCCAAATGATTTCTGTCGACAAACATAAAATTGGATTCTTCCGTCGCGTCGCTAGGCAATAACCATCTAACTCGCTATTCCGAGAATTTTAGCGATGTGGTTTGGCATCCAGAAAAATGAACACATGTGGAACGTAATGCCTATTTAAAATCCCTCAGTCTAAATACCGATTCATAACTGATTCACCATCATAAACATATGCACAGTCTCATCGCGTCTGAATAACTCACGATATTTTGGTCTGTATACACGACAAGATTAAATTATATTGTTTCACGATTATGTACTCGTAAAAAGTCTGTTTTACTTTCTACACCTACGCCTACTAGCGAGAAAGTATTGTAATCGCGAAAGATTTTGAAAATGGAACATTGTATTTTTTTATTACGAAAAAACGTGTTTGTCTGTCGGTCTGTCCGCTAATACTTGGCCCGTCTGTAACTTGGGTTTTGATGGAATTTTCACATTACTTCTATGCCAAGGACGACAAAGCCCAGCAAAAGTTATTGAAAATCGGTCTAGTGGTGGCGGAGAGAAATGCCAAAAAGAAAAAAAAATCGCCCTAACTCTGTTTTTTTATGTTTCAGATGACTCTGATCATTTTCAGAAAAAATATTGCAGGGGCTGAAAATTTTATCTTGGGGGGTTGTAGGGAGTGGGGGGAGTATATGTCAATTTTTTGGTGCTAGCAACCCTTACATTTTCAACCCCGGTAATTTAACGCACCCATTAGATTCATTTCATACATCATAGATTTCTCCATATATATGCCCGAACAACTCAACAAGCGTACGTCTGTCTGCTTCAAATGTTGAGGGACAAAGATGAACGATGATGCTTGTATGCAACGTCGTACGAGTTTGCGGCTGGTGGTCTTTACTGTCGTTATGGCAGTAAGCGATGTCCTAATTGTATGAGCCTGCTTAACTGACATGATCCATTCAATAGGGAGCAACTTATCCCGAATATAATCTTTCATGAATTGATTGCAGCCTTACGTAGGAAGTGCAGAGTCAACCTACTTGACGCCATTTTTTTATATTTCCATAGAATAGCGATCCCTACTTTCTGGATTACCCTCGTACAATGCTACTCTTCAAGAAGCGTCCAGATTTAGATTAGTTAATCAAGTTCTGTATTAATTTTGAGGCGTAGTGTTGGAA